ACACACACACACACACACACACACACACACACACACACACACACACAGCCTCTCTCACTGAGAACTAACTTGGAGACATTTTGGATTTTTGTCACTTTTCGAGTTTCCTTTAATGAACTATTTGTAATTTTCCATCGTGTGTGTTTTTGATTCTCCACACACACAGTTCATCACATGCAGTTGTGACTCAGTACAATAGATGTAATATTTATAAAAGATGACCTCCTCTGTTACACATTGTTTTATGATTAACGATGATGTGCTATAGTGTTAATTGTAAAGTTGTAGTGGACTGTTCTAGTTCTAGTTGCTTAGTGTAGAAAGGTCGAATACAAAGTCATTTTATTTTCCACATTTTGGTTGAACAATATAAGAGCAGCTGAAGTTAAAGGACGTTTCTGTTGCTGTTGGTTTTCCTCATCATAGATATTCTCTCTTTTTATCAACACATGTGTGAATGAACCACATTTGATATCTGAGGCCTGTCGTCACCGCTCCTTCGCTCCTTCGCTCCTTCGCTCCTTCGCTCCTTCGCTCCTTCGCTCCTTCGCTCCTCGACTCGTCCTCAACAGTTCAACTGATCAACACGTGACTGAATCACACGAGAACATTGAGTCACATTAACAACACTCGCTTGTCGTCTGTCTTTGTGTTTGATTGTCACAAATTTAAAGTTTCTATGTTCAGAAATGTTTGTAGGTTGAATCATCGTCCCGATGGACGTGAGATGAGTCAGAATGATATTAGCTCAGTTGTTGTTTCACCTTCTCTGTGGGATTCACGCCTGTTTTATTGTCTTCACTCTTCTGGTCCCAACATTCGTTTGTGTTGAAGGTTTATGTTCCCTTCTTCTTTAATTCTCCTCTTTCCTCCCCTCTGTGATAACCCCCTTCTCCTCTGCTTCTTCTCTTATCTCCATCTCTGTGTCAGGCGATGGTTTAATGTTCTTTCCCTCTTTCTTTCTCTTCTCATTTTCCCACCCTTCCTCTTGCTTTTTAACCCTCTGTCTTTGTCAGTTTCTCTCCTCGTTCTTTATTTCTCCTCTTTCTCTCGGTCCCTTCCCCCAGTTTTCCCACCTCCGTGCTCCATCGGGAGCGCCACAAAGCCTGCCGCTCCCCTAGCAACCACCGCGCCGCTGCCTCTGCCCCGGCAACAGGCCGTCGTGAGGACTGCTGACCCCTGACCCCATGACAGCTGCTCAGCCATCACATATCCCACAATCCCCCTGCCCTCTGCTCACTCCCGTGACCAGGGGAGGGGAGTCGCACACGGGAATCAGCGTTGAATCAAACTTTCGCCTTTGTCCGTCTCTAAAAACGGAGGAGAGGAATGAAATGAGAGAAGGAGGGATGAAAAGAAAAGACATTCACTTGTTTACTTGACGTAAACTAGGCCAGTTGAGCTGAGTGTCTTGCCCAAGGACACTTTAGCACATGAACCAGAGGAAAGCTGAACCACCAACCCCAGAGCAGCTCAAGCATCTGGGCCACAGCTGGACAGATAAAGTGGAGACGAGAGGAGGGGAGACAGCAGAACAAGGAAAGGAAAGGAAGGAAGGAAAGAGAGGAGGCGAAAGAAAAATGAAGGAAAAAGAAAGACGGGAGAGATGAGATGACAGGAAATGAAAAGAAGAAGAATGAACCGACGTGTTGCCGTGGTTATGTTTACACCAAACAAACCAACAAACACGCTGTTCTCCAGAGAACATTGTTTTCTGTTGACGACTCAGAAAATAATTAACAGCTGGAGATCATGTGACATCACACGTTCATGTTTTTAAACCGGTCTGTGAAACAAACTGTTTTTCTTCAGCGGAGCTTTATTAAATAGAAGTTTCTAATATTACAGCTCTGATGTTAGAAACTACAATCGTGTGTGTATATAAACGTCTGGTACATCAGCAACATGTCCGATCGTACATCTCTTACTTGTCTGACCTCTCAGTGTTCCCAGATCTCAAGAGACACTTTATTTACAATAAACAATATATATACATATATATACAACATGTCCAGACGCCACAGACACAAACTAACCTCATAAGTGTCGTTCACCTTGTTTAAAGGGTTCAGTGTGTAGGAGTTAGTGGCATCTGGTGGTGAAAACCGACGGCTGAAGAAACATGGCGGTGCGTCATGGCCGACCGGCTCCCATTAGATAGAAAAGCTCATTCTACCCGTTAATCTCCTCTCAGGTGATTGAACACGACTGAAAACTTCTCTGTGAATATTATATTTCTCTTAAATCCTCCTGGTCCTTTAACATCTCGAAGATGGCCGGGTGCTGTTGTAGTGATCTACTTCCTGTTTGTTCAGTGAGGTACGGCGCTCAGGAGTGTGTGTGTGTGTGTGTGTGTGTGTGTCTGTGTGTGTGTTGGTTCCAGGTGCTGTCCCCGGTGTAACCTGAGCTGGTCTTTATTAATAAATAATGCACCTGAACCAGTCAGCTCATCCGTCAGCTCGTCAGATAGGTAGCTGCGGATTATTCTGCCATTTGCCCTCCGAAGGAAGGACACAGACACACACACACTCACACACACTCACACACACACACACACACACACACACACACTGACACAACATCCCAGCGGTGGAGATATTCTGCCGGTTTTCAGGTTCAGGATTTTATTTTCAGGGATAGTTTTGGATTTTGTGGAGACACCTGGAGCGACCTCAGCGATCATGAACCCTGAATAGTAAGTGTTGTTTCTTGTGTGTCACTGTTTAAACATTCAGCTCCTGCACAACACAAAGTGTGTAGCGTTGACATCCGCACACGGAAGTTGGAGACACTTTAAAATGTAACATCCTGGAGTCCTCTTTGTTTTCCACTTGATTAATGAACGTCAGAGCCGATGCATCGTGTTCAGGGACACGTTCGCTCTTTGTCCCGTATCCTGCTGCTGCTGCACCAAATGAATCTTGTGTGTCGCTCCGTCCTTCAGTTTGTGTGAGTGCACACATGTTGTGTTACTTACATGTAATCGTGTGTAGTCGATTCTCTGTGGATCACTAGGCTGCAGAGGCTGATGGGTATTGTAGGCCTGAGAGTCAGTTCTGACAAATCAAGTGTGACGTCACCGCAACAACTTGACTGAAGACCTTTTTTTTTTTAATTTTAAGAGTTTATTTCCCACAATCCATCACATCTTCACTCTCTGTAAACACTATGATCACTACAATATCCAATAGTTACACTTTGGTTACACTAAAGAACAAATGATCCACGTCTATATTTAGTAAAAGAGGCTTTAAAACCACATCCAAACAAAAACGCCTTCGTTTCCTCTGGTGTCCACACGACTCTGGAGTTTTAGAGACGAAACTCTGCGTGTTAGTCTGGACGATACCGATGACGCTCACAACCACTGGCTGATTGGATCTCTCTCGTTGTAGCCGTCACTGATTCGTCAGACTCCTGTCACATGACCTGAAGAAAAGTCCCTCAGCCTCAGCTACCGGAACACAACATGGAGGATCAAACACGTCTCCGACCCTGTTGTGTTCGCTGCCTGAATTTACCAATGACATGGACTGTTAACATGGAGGAGACGAACTCATTAAGTCATTTTGATGAACGGCTCCCTGAGGCTGAACCATCAAATGTGTTAGTGTGCATGTAGATCATGATCGTGTGTGTGTGTGTGTGTGTGTGTGTCTACAGCGACTACCTGTTCAAACTTCTTCTGATCGGTGACTCTGGAGTTGGAAAGTCATGTCTGCTGCTACGCTTCGCGGTAGGCCTCTAAACACACACACACACACACACAGACGCACACACACACACACACGATTTGTCTATTATTTACTTTTCTCATTGTTTAAAAAATATATATGAGGAAAAATACAAAGAACAAAACAACATCAATATTAAACAGACTTTCAATGAGAAACATAAATGAACAAAAATGAAAGTTGATCATATTTTGTAACGGTGAGTACGGAGGCTCCTAATTGTGCGATGACGATGAAGATAGATAAAAGTTCTGGCTGTATTATTTCTCCACCACCGCAGGACGACACCTACACTGAGAGCTACATCTCCACCATCGGCGTCGACTTCAAGATCAGAACCATCGACATGGACGGAAAGACGGTGAAGCTACAAATCGTAAGAGTGATGGAGGGAGCAGGTTGTTATGGTTTTATAAATCAAACTGCTAGAAGCCAAAAGTGGGTAAATATCATTTAGTGTGTGTGTGTGTGTGTGTGTGTGTGTGCATTAGTGGGACACAGCCGGTCAGGAGCGGTTTCGAACCATCACCTCCAGCTACTACAGAGGAGCTCACGGCATCATCATCGTCTATGACGTCACCGAGCAGGTCAGTGTTTTATCAGCAACATAATGGAGGAGTTTGAACATTAACTTCTCCTCCTCCGCCTCACTTGTTTCTCCCCCTCTGTCTCTGTCCCCTCGCTCTGCAGGAGTCCTTTAACAACGTCAGGCAGTGGTTGGACGAGATCGATCGCTACGCCTGTGAAAACGTCTCCAGGCTGCTGGTGGGAAACAAGTCTGACCTCGTTAGCAAGAAAGTGGTGGACGCCGCCACTGGTCAGGTACACACACACACACACACACACGGTAATAAACAATAATCAATTCTAAATAATGTTAGACGTCCACCACTCGTCCGATAGCTGGGAGGAGACATTTAGTTTCAGCTGCGGTCGTGGCTTCACAGTGTGTCGTTGCTCTGGTGATTGTTTGAGCAGGATACATCATGATGTGTCGGTATCAACTTGTATTACAAGCTACGGCTAAACACCAACCTCCGACTTCCATCAAAACTCAGGTGAGACGCAGCTTTTAAAGTCTCGAGGGTTCAGAGGGAGAGTTTGACCTGCTGGTGGCGCTACATTAAAAATCTAAGTAGTTTCACCATGTGTCTGTGAAACGTTCACCTCCTCTATTGAAGCAGACACACGTCACATTAGCTCACATGTCTCGATGCTCTGGTGTTTACCTGATCACATTTTACAGCCGACACTTTAATCTCTGCATATGATGAAAAGTTGGATTTGTTAGTTTCACTCTTCTTCTTCTCTGGTTTCCTCTCCAGGACCTGGCGTCGTCTCTGAAGATTCCCTTCCTGGAGACGAGCGCTAAGAGCTCGGACAACGTGGAGAGGTCTTTCCTCACCATGGCCTCAGAGATTCACCGGCGCCTGGCCAGTGAGGGGGGGGGTCTGCAGGGTCAGTCCACAGAGGCCAAGGCCCAGGGCACCAAGATCAACAGCGCCCCTCTGTGGCTGGGGGGAGAAAAACAGGTGCAGGAGGCCGGTAACTGCTGTTGATCAGGAAACATCTGCACTGACGTCGCTGCTCTGTTCAGAGAGAGAGTTCACACTCATGCACTGGTTTAGTGTTTAAACACACAATCACATTTTGTCAGAATTGTGTTATTTGCTATTGACAAAATAAAACTGAGTTATCAGGAAGAAAAAACATGTTTTTACTACAATATTCAGTTTGAGCTTGTGTTTTTTTGAAGTAGGCCTATAGGAGACATTTCTGCTTTATTATTAGAGAAGAGACAAACAGATGAGAGATTACAGCCAACAGAGAGTTCACTGCATCATCCCTTTACCTCAAGATAAAACAGTTTGTATAAAGTACAGGTTCAAAAGTCAAATGAAAATAATATTTAAATAATAGTTCAATGTACGAGTTTTATGAAGAACTGTGGCATCAGCAGTTTGAGCTGCTGTTAGAGACGAATGCAAAGTGTGATTTCATTTACTGTCAATTCTCCGAAGTGCGATTTTTTGGTGTTTGTCAGATTTTGTTGTGGTTTGTTTGTTCTTTGTCTCTGTCAATAAAATAATATATCAGGAGTCTTGATGCTGAAAATCTGTTTAAAAGTTATTCGATGTAAAACAACGTGTAAATATGTTCAGTCGATCAGAGGATTTTCTGATTCAGGTTTGGTTTCTGCAGAGACACAATTTCATCGTGTATTTCGTTTATTTATAAAAGGGAAAATACATTTATTGCACCGGATGTAGCACAAACTAATTTAGCTAATCTCCATCTTTAGTGCCGGAACGTTTATATAACAGATCAGCACCGTTTGATGGGTTCTTCTCTGTTTCACCACATCCTTCCACCAAGATTCATGGTCAAGTCTTTTGTGTAACGCTGCAAATTAACGGACAAACAAATGCAGATTAAAAACTCCTTGAATATAAATATATATGGATTTAATGCACGATGTAGTCAGCACTTTTTCTACATCCAGACATTTAAATGAACAGCGCAGCCGTAATAAAAGCAGGTCAAGATGACGAATCACCGATCCCATTTATTTCAGTTAAATTTCTCCGGTTCAAGACTCTGAGCGTAATAATCGGATAAGAAACGACTGCAGCGACACTGAAGCAGGAATTTGCTGCTGAAAGAAGTGAAAACAGGAAGTTACATCATCTGAAATCTGTAAAAAAAAAACAATAAGGTGAACTATCAATGTAAAAGAGAGAGAATTTGATTTGCCTCTTTCACACCTTGTCAGAGTTGTTCCACATCTTATTAAAAACTGTGTTGGATCCATTCACATCATTTAAAGGAGCAGATACAGTTTGTTGTGCTGGGACAGAGATTCTGTAAATATTCAGGAAGCTTAAAGTTGTTGTTACCTTCCACCAGATGTCAGCGTTGCTCTGTTTTTCTCTTGATGGAGTCTGGCTCTTCCTCTCTTCCATCTCTCTCTCTCTCTCTCTCTCTCTCTCTCTCCTCATCCCCTCTGTTTCTCTTTCATGCTTGAGGTGTAGTTCATTGATGACACTGTTCTGGTTTCATTGATAAGTATAACCGGGTGTCATCTGCAAACAGAGTGTGTCCTGATAATAATGAAACCAACACAACATCCAGCAGAGCCTGATTGATTGATTGATTTCTTAATTAAAGTAATTAAGTAAAATGGTTCTTTAAGGATGAAATATGTTTGTGTGACTGGAGACGACTCAAGACTCAACATTCCTCTAAGAAAAGAAAATGTTTGTTTCTATTTGTTGTGGATGTTTTTGTTCTGTTTTTTAAATAAAGGTTTTAAATCAAGATCTCTGTGTCTCTCTCTCTCCTCCATGATTCGTCTGGTGGACTCTGACTTCAGGGTGACTTTAGTAACCACTCAATGACACTGACTCACTCTTCGAGGGGGGGGGGGGACTCCCCAGAGTCGAGATGAGACACGACCTGTTTTAGAAGAGGAGGTTTTAATCAGCTCGGGTCCATAAACTTGTTCTGTTTGTCTGAACGACTTCAGAGGTGAAAACAGTTTCCCAGGAGGAATCAGTCCAACGCTCATCTGTGCTGCACATGGTGATTTCCAAAAGTCACCGTTTCTGTTTGTCCAGACCTCAACGCTGCAGTTCTGCTGCTAAAGTCTCAGAATCTAAAAATCTAGAACAGTAAAGAACAGTTTGAGCACCAGCACCATCTACACCTCACCACACAGACTGAGCGGAGCCAGGAGTCGAACTGCAGACCTGTCGATTAGTGGACGACCCGTTCTTCCAAACTCAGAGTCGCCCACAGAAGCATTTCATACCCACTGAAGAAAAGCAGCCGTGTTCCTCACAGCGTCTGAAGGAATAAAGCTCGTGGCTTCTTCAAGAGGAAGAATCTTGATTTATTTTATCTGAACTGACAGCGACACGACAAATGTATAAAGGAGAAAAGAACCCATAAGACTGAAAGACTAAAAAAAAGATATTCAGGTATAATCCCCTCCAACACACCTCCGCTCTATTCACCTAGTCTATTTCTTTGTTTTTCCAGTTCAACCTCGGGTCACATTGTGCTCCTGAACCTCATCCTGCTGCTGGAAGTGACACATTCTCCACCGGGGACAAATAAAACCTGAGTGCAGCTCAGTGAGAGACAAACACATTTTCTACAAACATGTTCAGCGGTGATTCAACGGGAAAGTGTGAGAGGTGGAGGAGGAACTCTTTGGGAAACAGGTCGAATGTAGAACGTGCAGAACCCAAAGTGATGAAGACGAGTCGGAGCATCGACCCACAGCGACGTCACGCACCAGAGAAGAAGCCGCTCTTATGGTCAACCGCAGTTTTGAGAAGAAATGATTGACTCAGGCACCAAAAGTGAGTTTGTCATTTTGTCCAGCACCATGTTGACGATCATAAGTTACTACATGAACATCAGCTGAAGAAGACAAGAACCTAGAGACTGAGACTCCTGAGGACGAAGTTTACTGACGAGTACAGTCACTTTGTCATGGACTTCTATAGAAAACACGTGTGGCGTCGCCCTCTATTGGTCATTTGAGAGAATCGTCGTCTTTGCCGGCAGCCATTAAATTCTACATTTTATTTTCATATTTTATTTTACAACTTTGGACAAACCACGATTCAATCTGTCTTCATGAGCATGTCCAGTGCTCGTGTGGACGGAGATGATTTTTATATCTGTGGTGTGTCGGGTTCCTCAGATCACACAGATGACTCTTCCTCAGGAGACGTGACGTCTTCCTCAGTTGGACCAGGAATCCTGCTCTCATCCCCCCCCGCTCCTTCCTGTCGACTCTAATCCTGACTTAATATTTCTTGTTAAGTGGATGAATCATTTCTCTGCCCTTTTAAGTTTCCCAGTGTCGCCCTGAGGCACAGAGAATTCATTAAGGAGAGGACAGCTCTAAGCCAGAAGAAGTAAAACCTACTGTACCCTTTTCTTTCAACCGACAATATAAACTTCATACAAAGGACATTTGGATTATTCTCCTTTATTAAAACTTTATTTTTAGTTTTATTTATCAGTTGTAATGTCTGGGAACATGTAATCCTCATTATATCAACCACAACCTCACTTTGTGAACTCCATGTTTTTACTTTATTGACTCTTCAGGTTGTCAATTAAACTAAAGGAAACACACATTACATTATTATTACATTCAGTATTTCTAATCTCATCAAGGACGTTATGTTTCTCTGCTTCACGTTCGTCAGCAAAGACTGCTGGGAATATTTCCATGAAGGGAATCGGACATGAGCCAAGAAAGACCTCATTGAATTTATTTATTGTTTTCATCAGACCTCAGAATTCCCCAGGAAACAGGGTCTCTATGAATGTCGGTTATTATATTATATTGTTATTAATTATTATGATTGGACTTATTATCAATAATGAAATTAAAAAAAACAAAACCAACTGTAAACCCTGAACATCTGATACAGGATTTGAAAGTTGTCTCTCATCACTGATTCACTGATGTGATCCAAGGTCTCACAGAAACCGTCGAAGTCTGATTGTCTGTCCTCCTCCTCGCTCCTCTCTATCTGCCAGGAGGCCTCACCTAATGAAGCCTAGAATGAGGTCTTAACATTCTGAGAGACCTGGACACACACACACACACACACACACACACACATATCTGTAATGGATTTAGAGAGAAACCATCCCTTCCTCTAACCAACCTAACCTCTTCCATTTATCTCCGTCTGGCACACTGCTCAAATTAATGGTGCAGGACGTGTCCTAACGAGGGTTCTAATGATGGGAGCTAACGAGAGGCCGCTCCCTGTGGTCTGAGGGCCTCTCGTACCTCAGCCTCCAGTCTCTTTGGGCGGGATCGGGCTAACGGCCGAGGACGGTGAGGTTCCAGCAGAAAAACACACGTGTTGTGTTGACTTGTGACTCTGCTGCAGCGTTGTTCCTCATCGTCTCTGATTTGTTCCTCCTGATAAACCAACCTGTTCTCGTCGACACCTTAGTTCTGACTCTGACTCTGCACTTGCACCAGTTTCCTCCAGTGGGATGTTCCAGCAGCGGACAGATGTGAAGGACATGACGGCTGCCTTGTGTTTACTCAGTACAATACAAATAAAAGTGAATTGAATTGAATTGAGGCTGTAAAAAACGTACAAAGAGCTTTTACGGTTCCAAACATGAATGAAAACTCTGTAAGCAGATTACTTTGTGTTGCACCTCGTGTGTGAATTGCAGCTTAACAATTAGTTGAATCATAAATATTATAAAAACATTTTCTGATATGCTGGAATAAAAAAACAGTTTGGTGACTCGACATGTTGAGGATGAGACAAACACACAAAGTCTCTTTATAAGACGTTTACAACACAAATGTCCCTCGTGTCTCTAAAAGCTTCTTCAACTGTGCTGCATGTGAACGATGAGCGGTTTGTTAGTGTGATGATTAAAAGTGGATTAGCCTCTTTCATTATATATATTTATATTTTATTTTCTCAGCCACACGGTGGGAGCGTCCGTCGGGAAATAATCCTCCACAACAACGTCACACTGTCACATTCACGTCTTCGGACTCGGAGCGGTTTGTTAGTCGTGACAGGAGCTAGTTTCAAACCACACTTCGATGCAGTTAAAGCTAATGAGAAGTGACATGTATTGTAACATGACTGTGAAACAGCAGATAGGTGCAGACAGCAGGAAATGTAAATGGGATATTACAGTTGTAACAAATGACGCTATTCTCCATTCTGCACAAACCAGGCTTTCATAAGGAGACGCGTGTATAATATACTGAATATGTGTCGAATATGAGTCTCCATTATACTTGCATCATGTGTATCATTGTTCCATTTGTTTTATAGAAACAACACGGACGCACCAGGATTTGAGTTCGTCACAAAGATGCTGTCGAGGATCCTTGTCCCTGTCGATTGAACTCAACACTGACCCAAACCTGCACAACCTCAGTGTGTTTATTCACAACTGTCTGTCTGCGTCTCACGTCTCTGAAGAACCGTTCTTCTTATCAGCTTCACCGTCACGTTGTCGAGAGCGTGTTGAATCTTTATTAACAAAC